GAGGAGGAGGAGGGGAGAAAGAGCGGGGACCCCCCCCCCTCTTGCACACCGGGCGCCCGCGGGTGCCCTCCAACTTCCTCTCCCGCTTCCTCGCTCTCTCCTTCCCATTTTTCCCTCCATCCCATTGCATCCCTGGCATCCCTGAGGAAATCGTCGTCGTCGTCGTCGCGGTCGTCGTCTTCGTTGGCTTTTTGGTGGGAGAAGGGGGACGACGAGCAAGAGGAGGAAAAGGAGGGGTCCTGGGACCTGGTCTCGGTCCCGGTCCCGGCCCCGGTCCCGGTCCCGGTTCCCGTCCCCGTCCCGGTCCCGGTCCCGGTCCCGGTCCCGGTCCCCCCCCGGTCCCGGTCCCGGTCCCTGTGTCGGTCCTGGTCCCGGTCCCGGGCTCTCCGTCCCTGCCCCGGTCCCGGTCCCGGCCCCGGTCCCCTCCCGGTCCCGGCCCGGGTCCCGGTGTCGGTCCTGGTCCCGGCTCCGGGCTCCCTCCCCTCTTCGTGGGCCTCCGAGAATAGCGGCGTAAAATGATGGATGCATTCCCCCAAAGGCGCTTGCACTTCGGGAGGGGGAGGAGGAGGAGGAGGAGGAGGAGGAGGAGGAGGAGGAGGAGGAGGAGGAGGAGCGGAGGGGGAGGAGGAAGAGGAGGAGGAGGACGAGGAGGAGGAGGAGGAAGAGGAGGAGGGGAAGTGGAGGAAGAGGAGAAGGAGGAGGGAGGGTCTGGCCTCTCAGTCGAGGAGCTAGCTGGGCACGTCGAGCTCTCGCCACGCTGCCGCCCGCGCCGCCTCGTCAGGGGCTCATTTCGACTCCGGTTCGATTCGATTTCGATGGCTTCCGATTTCGACTTCGATTCGATTCGACTCGTTTCGACTTCGGATTCGATTCGATTCGACTTCGGATTCCGATTTGGATGCCGATTTCTCCATGAGGCCTTACTGCTCTGCCGATTTCCGCCGATTCGACTCCTCACGACCCGTCCGTCGGTTCCCGCCGGTCCGAATCATCTTGATCGCCGATGCGGAGTGTCGATTCTGGGCTCTCCTGCCTCGTGGGCCGCGCAAGTGGGGCCCGCGCCGAGTCGAGACGAGATAGATGCTGCCTGCTTCAGCGCACCTGACACTCGTGGGCCCCGCGTGGGCCCCTCGTGGGCGTCCCTCGTGGGCGTGGTTGCGGCCCGTGTGCCCTCGTGGGCCCCTCGTGGGCCCCCGTGGGCCCCTCGTGGGCGTCCCTCGTGGGCCCTCGGAGGCTGTGGGCCCCTCGTGGGCCCTCGTGGGCGCCCCGTGAGGCTGGGGGCGGGGTTGCGGACGCGGCTCCGCCACGCTGCCGCCCCCCCCCCGTGAGAACGAACAGGCGTGGAGCGACGAGGAACGAGCGGCGAGGGGCCGACGTTGAGGGCGGCGGGATGGGGGGACAGGGAGGAGAGGGGCGACTTCAGAACGAAGATCGCGCCACGGCGCCTGCACGCGCGCCCCCGATCTCGGCGGCCGACGCGCGCGCCCCTGCCGAAATGCAACGCGCCCTTCATTCGAGCCCCGCTGCTGCGGAGCCACCTAATCCACAACCAAATCGTCTGGGGAGCTGTTCGGTCCCCAAACTACTGGTTTGCCAGCCGCTGCTGCGGACGCCGAGGGCCCGGTGCTGGACGCCGCGGCCCCGCTGATGCGGGGCCCCTGAGAAGGCGCCGGCCTCCCCTTCTCTCTGGCGGCGTCGAACTTGACCTTACGCATTTACGCTCCACACCGAGGTCCTTGTACCAGCGATAGGTTCCTGACCCGTCGCTCCCGCCCAAACCCGCGGCTGGTGGCCTCATCCGTGTCCGCGCGGGGCATGAGGGGCAGAGCTTCGACCTTCCTGTCGCCCCAGTGCGGGTGTAAGCGGACGCCTGTCCCGTCGTCGCGGTGCAACACGAAATCCCACATCGGCAGCTTCACTTTCACCCGCTGCCCCGCGAACTGTCGCGCGCGCACAATACTCTGGCGCATGTGGTCGTAGCTGTTTGGCCGGACTTCGAGGGAACAGCCAATCAGAGCCCCGCTGCTGCGGGGCCCCCCCACGACCTCCCTGGCATCTTCCTCCCTGAGCGTCGCCACCATCTCTTGCCACCGCCAAGGGACTTCCTCGTCGCTTCTGAAACCAAAGCTCGTTCTCGCACCGTGGTCGCAAACAGCGACCATGGTGGGCTCCCACATTGTCAAACCACTTGGCTTCTGACTCGAACGGGGCAGTTGGGTCTTCATTCAGGTGGCGCCACCATTTCAACGCTTGGTTGTGTTGCTTAAACGAAGTGCCGAGCCTCTCTTCATAACTCAAAAAATAATTAACATCAAACTTCTCAAAATCCTGGGGCCCGCGCGCCGCCGCCGCTGCGGTGGCGCGGGGCTCCTGCGCCGCAGGCGCGGCTCGGGATCCCGACCCCTCTCCTGAAACTGTGCCCCCAGGTTCTGGTGAGTTTCGGAGGGCAGCCCTCACGAAATCATCGAATTCGGGCATGCCGAGACCAGGGGCGCGGGGGCTCACAACGCTAAGCGCGGCGAAGCGAGACGGCCGTTGAGGCGAGACCGCCGCCGCTGCTGCGGCGGCAGGGCCATCGCGCCATTTGGCGTCCTCCGTTGGCGTGTTCCCGTCTTGTCGCCAGTCTCTCCAACCCCACGCTGACCAATCATGGCCGTCCTCCCAGCCACGCCAGCCGCTGCTGCGGCTATCCCACCATCCTCCCGCGCCACCCCATGTGTATCCGCCTGCATCGCCCATTGCAAGACGATGGCGCAGGCGCGCGTTAGGCCGCGACGGGCCCGGCTGCACCGTTGCTCGCGGGCGATCCCACGGGCGCGGGATGGTTTGAGCATAGCGGCGACGGACGACGCGATGTGATTGGACGGCGGAGAACTTGAAAGGAAGGGGGGTTGGAAACGGAAGAACGAAGTGGACGAAGAGCGGAAATCGAACCAGAGGGGGGCGAAAAAAGAGCGGAAGAGAATGAGGACATGCAGACGAAGGAGAGTGACGAGGTAGATGGCGGGCCAGAACGGCAACGGAGAATAATGTGGTGGAACATGTGAAAAGGACGCATGGAACAACACGACGAGGATCACAGACGCAAAGATGATGATCGCAGTGGTAGCATGACATATCCGAAATCAAGAAGCAGGATGAGGAGGAACGGGATGACGAGCAACTCTGTCACAGAGAGCCTCCGAACGCACCCCCTCTGTCACAGAGGGCCTCCAAACGCACCCCCTCTGTCACAGAGGGCCTCCGAAAAACACCCCCTCTGTCACAGAGGGGGGAAATGATCACTTTAATGCGGCTTCTGGATTACGTCCTCCAAACCCGCCGACTCTCAGAGATTTCGAGTTATCGCGATCCGATTTTGTCCCGATCTTCGCGTCGTTCTATTCCCCCCCTTTCGTCTGGCCCGAGAGGGGCCGGCCATCCTCGAGAGGCATCGGGGCAGCACGGCCGCGCCTCGCTCGAGGTCCACCTCGCCCGAGACCACGGCGCCGTCCTCCTCCGACGGCCACGGGCCGCCGGCGCCCCGCGCCCGCAGGGCCTCGAGCAGCTGCAGGGACTTGTTGCCGGGCGCCGCGCACAGGTCCAGGCAGGCGTGCGACCTTCGGGTCGGGCGAAAGGGGGGGATAGCAAAGGGGGGGGTTGAGAATCAGCTCACGTAGCTGATTTTCCAGGCGCCGGAGGCGGCTATGTATCGAGGAATGGGCCCCTCGGTGAGGCCTAAACCAGCTGCATGCAGCAAATTTCGTACCCCCCCCTTTCCCAATCCCCCCCTTTCGCCCGACCCGAGACCTGGAAGGGGCCCTGGGACACACGAGTAAACAGACACAGATAAAAGAATTCCCCAGATTTGCTCGGCTCTGGTCCTCCCACCACTCCCCACAGTTCCCCCTATGATCTGGGGAGTGGAGGATTCCGTGTGTCTGTGCGTTTCTTTCCCTCCTGAGACCTCTCCGGCGCCAGCAGCAGCGCGGGCACCATCGACACCAGCTCCTGGAGGAATCGGAGGTCGGGGGCGAGCGAGCTAGGGGGGAAGTGAGAAGGAGAAGGCCTTCGCAGGAGGCGGCGGGACTTCTCAGACGCCCTCGCGCCTTCTGAAAAGTGTTCGGCGTCATCGGGGAAGGCTTCGGAGCTTCGGAAACTTCTCAGAGAGCCGGGGGACTTCCGAGCCTTCTGAGAAGGTCCGCCCCTTCTCACTTCCCCCTCCCCCCGGCTCGCCGCCGAACAAGGTACCCATGCCGCTACTCCCCTGAGCTCTCCCGGGGTGCGTTCTGACCAGGAATTTCGAGGCGAATCCAGCGGTGGCGACGGGGACCTCCAAGGAGGCCCCAAAAGGGAACACACGGGCGCATGGTAGCGGTATATGGGCACCCTCTCCTCCTCTGAGGCTCCTGGAAGTTCAGCGCGCCCCGGCGGTTTTCGCGCTCCGCCCAGGCCCGCACCACCCCGCCGCGCGAATAGGCGGCGTTGTCGATCTCCCACACGGACATGGCGGCCGCGTCGAACTCCCGCCGCCGCCTCCAGCCCAGCGCCCCCAGCTGCGCCTCCGTGCGCGCCGTGTGCGGGCGCCCCTGGGCCACCCACACGGTGACGGGCAGCGGCGACTGCAGCGAGGCCCACATCGCCCCGTACTCCGCCTGTCGAGCGGCGACCGACCGTCCCGGCGTTTTCCTGTAGGGCCTGCCGCGATGAGATCTTAGAACGAACGAATGATATGATTCCAATCCATCCTGTGGTGTTGGGTCCTAGGTCTGGATCAGCAACTCCCCACATTCCCGCTCCTCCTCTCCTTTCCCCCCTCCATCCCATCGTTGCCTCTGCCCTCCGTATGTCCATGTCGGCAAACCCCTCGCACGTCCCGTGGCCCCGTGGGGAGCTCCACCGAAGGCCCAAATGGTAAGGTTCGCATGGCGGCCCCGCCTCATTCCTGCATACCCCTCAAACGTTCCCCTCGGCAAACCCCTCACACGTTTGGAGCTCCACCGAAGGACCCGATGGCAGGGTTCGTACGGCGGCCCCGCCCAATTCTGGGGCACTCCTCGCACGTTTCGTGGCACCACTACAGGGTGCTCCACCGAGGGACCCAGTGGCAGGGTTTCCATGGCGACCCTGGTTCATTTCGGCACATCCTTCACACGGTTCATGGTCCCAGGGGCGCTACATCGAAGGCCTCAATTGCAAGGTTCGAATGACAATCCTCATCAATGTTGGCACACTCCTCACACGATTGGTGGCTCCATGGGAAGCTCCACCGAGAGCTCCACAGGCAGCGGCCCGCCCCATTTCGGCGCACTCTTCATACGTTTTTTGGCCCCATGGGGCGCTCCACCGAACGCCCCAGTGGCAGGGTTCGTATGGCAGCCCCGCCCCATTTCGGCGCACCCCTCACACGTTTCGTGGCCCCACGGGAAGCTCCACCAAAGGCCCCAGTGGCAGGGATCGCATGGCGACCCCGCCCCACTACACCACACTCCTCACAACCTTCGCGGCCCCATCGGGGGTTCTAACGAACGCCCCAGTGGTAGGGCTCTCATACCGGATCCGCCCCATCTCGGCACATCCATTTCGACACTCATAGCAGGGCCCCATAGGGCACTCCACCGAAGGCCCCCGTCGGAGGGTTTGCACGCGGCCCCTGTACCCATAATGCGGCACTCAAAACTGCATAAGGTTGGGTCCTTCGCCAAAATGAGACTCGAAGTAATGAGCTCTGCACATACAAGCCACTGCACAAAAGCAATACTGTTTCATCCTAGCTTGTTGTAGCAGACCACCGAGCTCTTAGGTTCCATTCGAACCTTCAGGTTATCACCGCCTTTTCTGTGGGCGTACAGGCACTCGCCATCGCTCGGTGCATGCTTCGGTTTCGTGCGTATATCGCTGCGCAAGATGACCCAAGCTGCTCCTCGATGGCCCTCGCCGAGAAAGCCGCACACGCCCCGAGCGATGCCAAGGGCAGGCCAGGACGCTTCGCCCCTGCACGAGCCCGAGCAGCTGCACCGTCGGCGCCGAAGAGGCCCTGCGCCTCGTAGAAGGCGCGCAGATCGTCCGCGGCCGGGACCCTGCTGGCGGCGGCGTCCTCGGTGGGCTCGGCGCGGCGCTCCTCCTCACAGGCCCCAGGCGCCGGGCCGCGTGGGCCGCCGCCTCCGCCCGGGCCGGCGCAGCGCTCCGCTGGGCCGCCGCCGCCGCCGCCGCCGTGAGCCTCGTGACCCTGGCGCTTGCTGGAGAGCCACTCTCGCCGCTCCGCCTCGGAGGCGCGCACCACAATCAGAGCGTGCAGTGAGGACGGCCTTGGAGGCCGAAGTTTGGGAGTTGCTGGGCGGCAGGCGACCAGCGAGAAGGGCAGAGGACGGGCCGCAGAGGCAAGGACACAAGGGCACCCTCGATGGAGGCGCGCGTCCCTACCAGGCGCGTGGACTGTGCAGGGGGGAGGTGGGAGGGGGGCGACCTTCTGAGAGGGCGGGAGGGGGGGAACTCTTAGAAGGCAGGCGGCCACGCTGGTGGGGGCTTCTGAGAGGTCTCCCTGGAGGCCTCCGGGCGCCCGGGCGCCACGGCGAAGGCCCGTTCCGTCCGAGACGCCTCTCGTCTTTGTCGCCCCCCCGCGCCACCCCCCCTCCTTGGTGCGCGCCGGAGGCCACCTTCCCTCTGCGATGCGCCGGCGGTGGCCCCTTGCGCGGCATGGCGCCCGAGCGCCCTCACCGCGCGCGCGGCGCTCGGAGCTCGACAACACAAACTGCTGCGGAGGGGGGCAGCGAGAGAGACGGCACGGAAGAGGGTGGCCCAGCCCTTGGGGACGCACGGGGAGGCCCCAAGGCAACACCAGTCTCGCGACCATCCTGCATCGAGTAAGCTAGCCTGGCGCTGGCTTGATGCTGGTAGAGGAACAGTGGTGATAGCCATTGCGACTGAGCATCGTATGCACACATACGTGTCCGATACATCGCAAGATTGACGCTGGTGCATGCGCTCGATTGTGCGAACCTTGCCGTGACGCCCTTGCACTGTATTAGGGACTTATCCGTGCAAAAAATGTCGTTGTGTCTCTGCTGACGCTCAAATGTACACAACCACTAGACGAGGCATCGTAAGGGGACGT